CTTCAACTGAAGTCCACCCGGGCCATTTTGTAGAAAACCGCTGAATGCATTCTGCTGCCATGCGCTATCTCCCGTTGGCTGCCAGTCGTTACATCCCTTCTTGTGCGCTTCGTTTGCAAGGCTCGGCTGGAACTCATTCGCTCTATCCTCCTGCCAGTCGTTCGACCCTGTCACTTGCCATTCGCCGGGCAAATTCTGCACCTCCCCATGTCCATTAGGTAACCACACATTAGGAGTGTTATGCTGAACCTCAATCGTTCCGCTTGGTCGCCAGTTGTTTGAATCATTCTGTGGTAACTGGATAGGAATGCTCTGATGCCCATCACTATAGATCTTTGGTTTAATTTTATTGCGTACATTCGGCTGCCAGCGAAAAAATATCTTTTGCACTTCTTCGTTGGGTCCTCTCTGCTGCAACTGTATGGATTGAATAGGCTCTGGTTGTTCCTGCTGAAAGCGACACAATGCATTTAAATGCCACTTAGAAGACACATTCTGCTTCCAGCCAGTAGATGACCTCTTCTGTCGCTCACTAGATTCCTGTTGCTGATACTGACGAGATACTGTTCCATTTGATGGCAGTTGGCCAGATGACTGTAAACTCTGCTGAATCTCACTGAGCATTTTCACCTGCCAAGCAGCTAGTTCTCTAGGCTTGCTCTGCGAACTTTCTGGTTGATCCTGTTTTTGAGGCTGCTTAGGAAGCACAGATTTTGGCGGCTGCCACCATGTAAGATTCGGTAGAATTTGTGGTTGCTGAGGTGGCTGCTGTAAACCTTGCGCCATTTTCTGGTCCGTCCACATAGGTTGTTCGACCCGTGACCATTCTGGTACATCTTCAGTAAGCCACGCTGGTCTTTCACGATTTGTTCGAAAGGATGCATCCTTGTTGTCGTACCTAGAGGGTAACACGGAGGATAACACATGTGGGGCGCTTTCTGTCTCTGGTGGTTGTTCCGCTTCTGATGGCGCGTCTTGCTCTGAGAATGTGAGGCGGTCCATTTCGGACCAGATCGAACCTCCCTGACCTGATGACATTTCGGTTTCTTCGTTTGGTGCTGGTGGTGGTCCAAGCGGTGACGGTGCGAGCAGTGGCGGTGCGGTTGGTGGCGGTACAGGAGGCGCAATAAACTGCGCAGCAGTGGAAGTTGACACAAATGGTTGGGTCCTAGTATTGACGGAAAATTGAAAATAGAAGTGTTATAAGCACTACCTTAATAAATAAATCTGGGCTAAATTCATATAACATATCGCAGTATCCTTTGAAAATTTAGAAAAAAGAACTCACGACGCAAGACGTGGATCTGGTGGAATTTGGTGAGAGAGAGCGTACATGTCTTGCAAAGATCTAAAAAATTTCTTCGAAACGTGATAATACTTTATGCGCGAGAAATTGAGCGAACAGTTACGGAAATATCCAAATTTGGTTTTAAAGAAATACTGCTTCTGCTTTCCACCGCAGTCCACTACATAACCAGTGCATAATTTTTTTAGAGCACAATTCTGGCACAACCTCTAGCATGAGATTTGCAAGACTCTAAAACACATGCATCTACATGAAACTAGATTAGTTTAAAATATAATCATAATTTCAGTTTGTGCCTATTGGAACTATCAATGGCCGAAATGTTGTGGCGCCCATGATGACATATAATGAACTCTACGCAGATGTTCCCTGATAAAAAGAGATGATAGAGGAAGAAGAAGAAGAATGAAGAAGAAAAAGAAGGAGTAAAAAAGGAAATTGGAAACTTGCACAATAAACAGAAGCTCTACGAAAAAACTAGAACGTAGTCGGGACACCGGACTGGCGTCATTTACGATGTTTTCGTGCGCATTACATTTCAGTAGACGACCGATATTTTGATCTGCACACGGTTTTTAGGTAACAACGTTGACTCGGGAACGTGTCACGTGGGTCTCATCACATTGTTTGTCGCGCAGTTTAGCGCTGACTTGACTTTGCAAGTATAGACACCGTCAACATGTTTAAGCTTGACCTTCATCTCAAAATCGATCCAGTGAACTTTCAACTATGGCCATTCATAAACCATAGCTTGTTTCCTCTTTCGAAGGTCTTTTTTCAATCTCGTATTTAATGTTTGTAGGTCCCAAGAGGACTACTTATGATTTAGCAGTGTTAAGATAGCACCGAGATACAACTTCTCCAAATGTCTGTCGGAAACACTGTTGCTATTGCGAAGAATTTGAACAACCGCCAT